TAATTTGGTAAGCCCCCCCCATTATTGTTATCCTTCTCTTACTCTTTAAAATAAAAAAAAAGAAACTTGTATACTGTAATTATTTATTTTGAGAGTTGTCTAGGGTTTCATATTTTTAGTTTTATCTAACATTGCCCCGGGAAGTCTTCTTATTTAACCCCTTGATTTTGTTTCATTTTTCAATCTACCCTTTCTTTTCACTGACTAAAAGGAATACAGTGTCCAGCTTCCCACAGACTGGATGCCTGTTTTGACAAGGAAGAGGTTTTCAAGGCAGATGATGTTTTCTCTTTACCTTATCACTACCCTACTGTGAACTGTAAAAACTTATTTTGATACTAAAAAGCCTACCTCCTGTAAATACTACCACCCCTCCTTACGATCTTTTTATCAATTTGTGACTTGCCTTGAAATCTACATTGGGCTCCTAGGGTTCTTGTAACAAGCACAGACTGGAGAGTTTTCTGTCAAAGTATCTGCAGGGCGCTGCTCTCTGCACTCCCCAGGGGAGGCTCCTCCTGGCGTTTCTCAGCTTCTGGTGCTCAGCCAATGCCAGAGGCTCAGGCCTGTGGAAGTATCATGCAGACCTCTGGTCCAGTTGTCCCATCACGTTCTCCCTTTCTCTTGACTTGGCCTTCACATAACCCCTCAGAGACTGGACTGAGGAGCCATCCTAATCTAGTATGACCTCACCTCAAATTATTACATCCACGAAGAGCCTAGTTCCCAAGGAGGTCCCACTCACAAGCACCTGGGGTTAGGACTTTGAGGGCACAGAATTCACTCTACATCTTAGCCTTACTTCAATTAAGTTTATTCCCTTCTATCTAGTCTTTTATTATTCAGCTCAGTACTAGTTTTCACCCACTGCCCACCTATACCTCTAACCTTTGATCTTCCTGGACTTCTGATCTTATTTTTAATTCAAACCCACTAATTATACATCAGCGCAAGCATCTAAGCACTTCGTTATTTCCATGGGTATAGTCATGTCGAAGCACTCCACTTCATGAAATATACACCTTTAAAAATATGTCACCTTTCCTTTGCTTTTGTTGTATTACATTTAAAGCAATGAGTTTAACGTTTAAAATGTGTATAGATAGGTTTCATTTTCTGTTTCTTTTCAGAAGGAAAAGTACTTATTAAGAATGAGAGACATTCAGTGTGACAGGATTAAGACAACATGGAGGCACAGAGGGGCCGAGGATTTGCCGTGAGGAAGGTGTCTTGAGCAAACTGATACAGCAGCGATGTGCACAAGAATTTCAGTGGGAAAGAACTTATTTATTTATTGTTTGCAGTGCTGTGGATAGAAACGAGGCCTTCACGGAAGGCAGGTAAGTGCTCTACCTCTGAACCCAAATTAAAAAAAAAAAAACTACCAGAAAAACTAATGAACCACTAAGAGAAAAGGGAGGAAAAAGGAGTGTCAATTCTTGAAGAACACAAGGAAGTTTGTTTGGATGTACAGAATTTCTCTAAATGCTATATGGTTGTGTGCTGAATACGGAACATAAAGGAATGTGACAACAGGTCCAGGTCCTCAGGCTGGAGAAAGAAACCAGAGACCCCCAAAGAGAAAACCACCAATCATTCTGCATCGAGTGAGTGAAGGCAGCTTGTGAACCCAAGAGCCAAACCCCACCGGGTACTCTCACACTGAGGTCTGAGGTGCCTCCCAGGCGGGGTGAGAGGAAAGGAGGGAACAGAAGAGACCAACAAGAGCTCCTTGTGATGTTCTGTGACAATGTGAACACAGGGTCTGTGCACCGAAAAGGCCGTCAGCTGAGGAGGCGGGCAGAGGAAGGCAAAGGGTGGGCGAAGGAGGGACTGCACTGACATTACCATAGCCTGCTGCTGCTCACCTGGGTCCGGGGTGGGCTACACTCACCCTCTTCTGCCTTCTCTCTGGAGCTTTCTTGCTGGAGAAAGGCTGGTCTCCGGGGAGCAAACCCTGGACAGGGGAGTTGAGAGCCCTAAGTGAGACATGGCCAGCTTTGAAGTGTCCTATTTGGGGCCCAGCAACCCAAACCCTGTGTTTGTTAAATATCCAAACTAAGACGCAGAGCTCACTGGCTGAGAAAAGAGTACTGTGACTATTTCACTCTACCAAGAAGTCAAAGATTCTAAAATTTTAGGGTCTCTCATAAAACCGAGTGGCACTTATGAACTTACAAGGTACTTAGTGACACATTTTTACATACATTAAGAAAAATGAGTCATAGGTGTAAATAAAGAGGGGAGGAGAAGCTGGTGATGAGTGCGTTGCTTAGGGTAGCATAGCACAAAATCCACTACAGCCTACATTTGGACCACTCTGATCTTAACAGATGCTGGCGAGGGGCATACACCTGAAGCTCTATAAAATAAGTTCTGAAGAGCAAATATACAACATGGTGACTACAGTTAATATATTGCAAGCTGGGCATGGTGGTGCACACCTGTAATCTCAGCACTCAGGAGGCTGAGGCAGGAAGATCACTGCAAGTTCAAGGTTAGCCTGTACGTGAGTTCAAGGCCAGCCTGAACTACACAGCAAGACCTTGTCTCAAAAAAAGAGAACAATAATGTACTGATATATTGCATAATTGATTTATTTTTTTTTAGGATGAGGGCTCTCTCTGTGGCCTGCACAGGCCTTGAACTTCTGGGTCCATCCTCCTACCTTAGCCTTCGGGAAAGCTGGGACAATGGCCGTGTCACTATGCCCAGCTTCAGACTTTACTTCATACCCTTCTTGCTGAAAGTAGATGTCAAGTACGCTCAGCACACACATAACTATGAGGTGACAGACATGTTCGGCAGCTGGTGTGATCATCTCACAGTGCATACAAAAGTAGGAAACGCGACTTGCGGACACAGCTAACCAGCTTTTGACTAAGGAGTCGTGTGTCCCTCACTGGCCTGCTCCTGCGTCCTCATTACGCACTCCGTGGCACTCACCACCCACGTCTTGGGGGAGCTGTGGAGTTTCGCTTGGCAGCGTGGTTACCCCCGGCAGGAGCTGGAGGCTCTGACTCTCCAGAGAGGCTCCTTGACAGTCTGCCACCACTAGGTGCATTTCCTGTCCCTGAGTGTAGAAAGAGGCCTGGAGACAAAAAGATTCACTTTGAAAAGGCATCCTGGTGGGAACCAGAGCAAACAACAGTCAGGGACTTTCCCAAGGGAGCACAGAGCAAGCCCGCTCCATCCTGTAAGGCAGGAACAACCGGACACAGGCATTCATCCGTTCATTCACTGGGCAAGTGAGGCCTGAGTGCCTGATGGGAGCTGGCCCCTATGCTACAGCATGGCAGGCAACAAAGGCAAACGTCCCTGCCCAGAACACACACACAAAGCCAGAACACTCGGAGCAGTGGGCAAAGGCTCAGCGAGGACTAGGACACGTGCACTGTCTCAAGTCACCTCCCACAAGGCACGTAGTAAATGCAAAGGGCGAACGATAATGAGGCAATCCGACAGGCACTGCCAGGCCTGCATCAGTAATGCTCCCCCTGAGAACATGACGCCACCTCTGTGGGAGATATTCTTATCATGATGTGCAACCTGGATCTAGTCAGGAGAAAACAGCAACTAAATGTGATTCTGACTTATCTCCAGAAAGAAAGGAAATACGACGATAAACAATAGCAATGGCGTAATACGGCAAAATGTGAGTAGGACTACGGTTATACGATAATATCATAATACTTTTGTTTAATTTCCTTAAACAAAGTAATTGTATCTTGGTTTTATAAGAGAATGCCTTTGCTCTTCAGATATAAATACCAAAGTGTTTAAAGATAAAGGGACAGGGCTGGGGATGTAGCTCAGTGGCACAAGTGCCTGCCTAGCAATTGCAAGGTCCTGAGTTCGACTCCTGATACCATCCCCCCCCACCCCCGCCAAAAAAAAGAATGAAAATTTCGCTGGGGAGATAGCTCAGTGATAACAAGGGCCTGCCTGGCAAGTGCAAGGTCCTGAGCTCGATTCCTGATACAAAATAAATAAATAAAGATAAAGGGACATAATGTCTGCAATTAATTCTGAAATGGTTCATACACATATACACACAGAAAAAACCTGCAGAAGAGCACAGGGTGTAGCACATCACAGAACAAGTGTTAACACCTGGCAAGTCTGGCTGAAGTGTACACAGGAGTTCTGTGTACTGTTCTCCCAATACATCTGTAGGTTATACATTACTTCAAAATTAAGTTATTTAAGATTAAGAGTTGCACATCCTCCATTTCTTTTCCCACCACCCCATCCATCACCTGCTGTCCTGTGTCTCCATGTCCAGCTGCCAGGTTCTCTAGCACTGTCACAGCCTCCTCTCCACTCTGCAGAGGATACATCTGCACCCAGGCCTGCAGCTCCCCGGGCAGGGCGGCCAGGAACTGCTCCAGCACCAGCAGCTCCAGGATCTGCTCCTTGCTGTGCATTTCCGGCTGCAGCCACTGGTGGCAGAGCTTGCGGAGTTGAGTCAAAGCCTCCCTGGGCCCAGGAGCCTGTTGATAGCAAAACTGCCGGAACTGCAGGCGGGAAAGTTCTTGCAAATGGGAGCTGTGCTCCTGTGAGTCATATGCTTGCTCCCGGGCGGGATCTTCTACCTTCACTTTCAGGAGGCTGTCTTGATTTTCAGGAGTGGAGCCTGGCAAAGCTTCATACATGTTGAGCTTAGAAGCTAGACAAAAGATCACTTGGCTGAGGTCTACACTCAAGAAATGTTTTTCCAAATGTATAGCTAAAGTTTAAGAATTGATTCACAATATGCAAATCAGTGCTCTGAAGCCCTATGTGATATGTTTATCCCCAGTACAGGTGGCACTCAAAAACTGAGCTACTTGTCTCTATTATAAACACAGTTAATCAGAAGCGGATCATGAATGTGAAGAGGCTAAACCCAGAGGTAAGGGAGGTGGGATACAAGGGAAGAAAGGTTAACAATAAGAACACAGAGGCACATGCCTGCAACCCCCCCACACACATACACACACCCTTGGGAGGTCAAAGTACAAGGATCAGAACAAGTTTGAGGCCAACCTATGACACATAGTGAGTTCAAGGCCAGTTTGAGCTATATAGTGAGACCTGTTACAAAAAAAAAAAAAAAAAGATGCTTGGGTAGCTGGGAAGAAGTAATAATTTTACCCACAGAGGAGCCAGATGCCTACCTTTAATGTAGGTGTGGTAGATGGATTCCAAAGTCTCCTATCCCCAAATTCTTTTTATAGTGATGTTGTGCCCCTCTTTCATCGGGAGGTGTTAACTACTTTTCCTTGCCTTGAATCTGCACTCATTTAGTTAGCTTAGGAGCGGTCAGGCCTGAGATAAAGTTGGATCACCAACCATATTGATAAAAATTAAAATAAGAATAGACAGTGAACTTGAACTTTGGACCAAGGATGTACTTCCTCAGGCAACTTGGAATGCAGCCTACCCCCTACTAAAAGGAGGTACAACCACTCTCTACTAAACTCTTGAGTTCTGAGGAACTTGAAATGCAAAATAGCCAGTTTTTTTTTTTCTCTAAAATCAAGTTGCCTTTAAACCCTGTATGCTAAGGAACTGGGTTAGAAGCCCAAGTTCCAATTGGTCATTTTAAGTCCACAAGGCCACCTTTCAGTAGGTGGCCACTAAACAAGTGAGCGGTTCCCGTGCTCTGCTCACCTATGAAAGGACTGGATTGAGGGGCCGTGGCGGCCCACTTGAGATCCCTCCTGGAAATCCGGGAGCTACTCATATTTCCAATAAAACTTTCCCAACCTCCTCTGGTTCTCTATTTCATTCTGAGATAGGACAGAAAAAATAAAGCTGGTAGAAAGTAAACAAGGAAATTGAGATATAAAAAATTGTACTTTAAAGAAAAACTGCAACCTCAGAACACAAGCCTGTTTATTTACTACTTGTTTTCCTTCTTCCAAAAAAGCAAACCTGGGCAACTCTCAGCTGCAAAGGGGCCTGCACATTCCCTTTTACCTGCAAAAGGTCCTCCTTCACCCAAGAATGGACTGTACTTTTGGCATTTCCCACAGGGATAGACTATTATCTCACCAGGGGTGGGCCATCTTCTCGGAACTATTAAGACTAAGACTAAGACCAAGACTATAGATTATCGAATTCTACCTCCTGAAACACATACAATACGCCCAGTTCCCAACTGTACCGTGCCTCACTGAGCACCCGAGGGTGCGTCCTATCCTCCTCACGCCTCTTTTACTGATGCGTCCGGAAAATCCTTTTCTGTGACAGGCGTCAGCAAACCTGCATACCTATTTGAAAGGGTGGGCCAAGTTCTTCATTTCCGTCTCAGGACCCTCAGGCCCAGCCTGTGACAAGTAACAATTCCTGGATGTCGTGAGACCACGAACTCAGCACATCTGACATCTACCGTCCTGGGAGTTGTTTTCCCTGCCACAACCCCTTCACTTCCCGCGTGGGGGTCGGGGGAAATCACTACACCTACTGAGGACGGAAAAGTCTTATATGTTGACTGTTGTGGAGTGAGAGCAGAGAAATTAACCCGAAAAGTTTCAAATATTCCTTGGATTAAATACTCCTTGGATTAAATACAAAATCCCTGAGGTCTGCTCTTTACTGGGTTGTACTGGTCTGTCACTCAATTTACTGTGCACCTCATTATTTTCCAGGACTGAAGCTAGATCTACAACAAAAGACATAGTCCTCCCCTTTAAGGAAACCATGCTTTTACGAAATTCCTCGTGTTACTGCCATGCTTTGGGAATGTTCTGGCATGTTTTGGCACTACTCAAATTTTTCCCATACACTTTTTTCACGGCCAGGATCATCCTAATGCGAATTTCCAAGCCCCAGCGCAAACTTACCTGCTTTGTACGCGGGTAATCGCCGCTGACCACCCCAAGCCTAAAGACCACATGGGAAAATGTGCTGTCCCCCTCTCGCTGTCTCCGCCCCGCAATACAGCCGGCTGCGCCCCAACCCAGCACCTTGCAGACAGGGGCTTTCCTGGACTCCCACCTAGCGCCTACCTGGTACTGTGCAGACACTGCTGGAATTCCCGCGGGGCTCAGGTACTTGTGCTGAGATGCTGGGGACCAGAACTCAAACCGGAGGGGACTTCCTGCCGTGGGGCTCAGAGGAAGGGGCATTTCCTGTGGGCAGAGGCCATAGAGACACTTCCTATAGCCAGACTGGGCGCAGAGGGGCACTTCCTGTGGCAGGACTGGACCAAGATTATTTCCTGTGGCCGGGTCTCTAGCCCTGTGGCGGCTTCCGGCTGACTCCTGTCTCTCTAGTAGCGTGGCCTTCATCTCTATGGTGCACTGGGAGCAACACCCCTGCTCCCTAACTCCTTGGTGGGCCCTTCCTGCCGGCCCACGCACACCCACGTTTCTGTAAATCATCTCAGTTAAAAACTAGCGGGATGGGGAAAACAAAGATGAATCTGCTAGGGTTCTCACCGGCTGGAGTAAGAGCTAAAGCGATAATTAAAGGAAACGGAGTGAATTATTTTAAGTACACAGATTACACACACACAAGGACAATTCCGGTTGTGTGAAATCAAAATAGTGTCTTCTTGGGGATAACCACTGTTAATATGTATTTTCAGTATCTCCCCAGAGTAGTACCACATAATAACATTAAAAAAAATTTTAGTTAGCTAATAAGTATGGGTCTATGTATCTTAAACCAGTTGGGGATCATAATATAGGAAATATAACTCCCAACTTAGATGTTTGATATGCCGAGTTCGTGTTCCCCAAAATCAAAGAATGAATTCTAGGGAACAATGGAGGTTAAGAGTAGGAAATATTTATTGAGAGGGAGAGATACAGCTCCTGTATCTCTCTGAGAGGTAGGAGGGGCCCCTAGCGGCTTGCTGATGATCCCATTTCTCAGGGGAAGTCTTCTCCCACCTCAGGGGAAGTGGTATAAAGCATAACCAGGTGGAAACAGTATAGGTTACAGCTATAATCAACCAATAAGATTGTAAGTATAGTTGGTATTATTGATTCAACAAGGAAGCAAGTCACATAGCAAGTATACATGGAAAGAACAAAGAACTTTTCAGGAAGGGACGAGTCTGAGGGCCTTGGTCACCCATTGAAGTGACTGACGTCTATCTAGACTTCATTAGACTAGGTGTTACCACTTATCTCGGGTCTGGTCATTCTGTCTTTGAGGGTTAACCTCCAACAGATACACCTCCAGCCATAGCTGTGATGTTTTCATCCTTGCCCTAACTCTCTGGAGCACTCCCCCCTGCCTGCCTGTTTTTCTACCTAAATCAGTTGTCTGTAATATTTTGTGTTACTTTTTTATATTTTCATATACCAACTTTCTCTAAAGAGCTAAAGAGTACTGGATTGTATTGGTGTATAACAATGCTTTACTATCCCTACTGAAGTGTATTTGTTGTATCTCCTTCTGTCTTCTATGCTGGGAATTGAACCAGGGCATCCACACATCCCCACCCCTCTCCTTTTTGAGCCAGGCCTAGCTTAAGTTGGTTACCTTTACATTCTGCCTCAGCTTCCCAGAGTGCTGAGGTTATAGCATATGTCACTATGCATGGCTATACTTTTTTTTATAAGTAATACTGTAGGGAACACCATTCAATTTTTTCATTCTTTTATATTTGTTTGGTATTACATTCTGGAACTGTCAAAAAGCATTGAAAATTTGATAGCTCCCTATGTACAGTATTTCTAAAGACATTGCTGCTTAAGAGGAAACTAGTACGTCAGCAAAGGAGACAACTTAAAATCTGAACTGTAAATGATCAATTAACATGTAAAAAGATGTTCCAATTCATTAGTAAAAATATAAAACACCCTTTAAAAAATAGGCCCAGGTGGTTTTGTTGGGGTACTCAGGATGGAACCCAGGGGCATGCTGCTGTGGAGGTACATCCCGTTCTTTTTATTTTTTGAGATAAGGTCTCACTAAATTTTCCAGGCTGGGCTTGAATGTGTGATCTTTCTGCCTTAACCTCCCAAGTACATGAAATTATGACACTGTGCTGGCAAAAAACTGGCCCAGTTTAAGTCACTTACTGAAGGACATCCAGCTTTCTTCTAAGTTTTGGCAATTATGACTATGCCGCTATAAATGTCATAACCGCCGAAACTCCTGCCTTCTTTCCCAAAGTTTTGGCCGGAGATACATGTGGTGATTTTTACGAAGGCAGCTCAGAGAGCTGACAGAACTAGGACAAGCCTCTTGTCTTGCTGTTTCTCCACATTTTGCATGTGATAGCTGGAGCTTCAGCAGCCATCAAGGATCATGTGAGGGTTTTAAAAGTTGCTGGCATGGAGCAGGATGGTGGAACAGAACAGTGGAAAACTCAGACCCTAAAGATACCATGGAACAACCTTATCAGTGTTGCCCTGATTGCCTCTAACCTTATATATTAGAGAAGAAAAAGTTCTACAGTCTCTATTTTTTTACTTTTAAGCTACATGCAGCTGAATTTCTAATGACTATGAGGATTCAGCCATCTTCCCACACTGGCAGACTGAGAGGTTGTCTTCAGGGCACCATACCCTCTGCGGCTACCCATCAGTAAGCAATGTTTACCCTCCACATGTGCCTGGGAGCTGACTCCTCTAACCTTACTATGCTTAACCATTACCACGCTGTTACTGATACAGAGGTTAACGACTTTCTTTCCCTGATGACTGTATTGTGACTTTCAATAAATTCCAAAACAAGCAACATTCAAAAACTACATCTCTAATATTAAAAGAACGAACTCTGATTTCTTCCATGGACATTTATTAAATAGCATCTATGCAGCAGTCACTGTACCAGGACTGGAGTTATCAAGACAGCTGCTACTTGGATTGATTCAGCACAGTTCACTCAAAATGACTCTTGAAATCACTTCCAGAGTCTAAGTAAAACTTTGCTTTGTAATGTGAACCAGTGAGATGTGGTGGAGATGGGGATGGAAAATGTAAAGTGATACGAGGACAAGTACTCCAGAGAGAGTTCAACTTCAATTTCCAAAATGCTTTGGTTGTACATAGGGAGTGTGGAGGTAAAGCTGAAAGGCGGCAAGGGTGTGTGTGTGTGTGTGTGTGTGTGTGTGTGTGTGAGAAGCCGGTGGAGAAAATGAATCTGTTGCTACAGTATCTGAAATATTAACCATCCCTTGTTTTGCATCAGTCTATGTGGACACTTGACTGGCTGCTGTTCTCAGAGGCCTGAGTACAGCTTGTGTGGAGATACACAACCATGCAATTATCAATCACATTAACGCCTCTTCGAGGTCCTGTAGTGAGGACTACTGTTTTGCTTTGATTGTAAAGGACTGTCTACTGTGGTCCAAGGCCAGCTTCAAAGAACAGAGAGAGACAGAGAGAGACAGAGAGAGAGAGAGAGAGAGACAGAAAGGAGGCAAATGGCTTTCAACTTGGCGTTAGAGTATTTTCTGACATTAGTTGGCCAGAGACTTTTCCTGGCATGCTGTGGCATGCTGTCTGCTTCTCTCTGTTGCTTCTGATGTTCTGTACAGAGAGAACACTCATCAGGCCAGTCTGCCTCTGTGGTGATGTCTCTGATGCTGAAAGAGACCTGACTTCTGCCGGAAGGCATCTCCACACTCGGTACACTTGTAGGGCTTTTCTTCATTATGGATTCTTATGTGCTGATCGAGGTGTGAGTTTAGTCGGAAGGCTTTCTGGCATACTTTACATTTGAATGGTTTCTCTCCAGTGTGAATCCTGTGATGCCGAATGAGGTCTGAGGTCAAGCTGAAGGCTTTGCCACACTCATTACACCGGTGGCTTTTGGAGTGACTGTGGATCCTCTGATGGTGTGTGAGAAGCAGGGCCTGACTAAAGGTTTTCCCACACTCCTTACATTCACAGGGTTCCTCCTGACTGTGAATTCTATGGTGTCGATTAAGGTGAGAGCTGCGCCTGAAGTTCTTTCCACAATGGATGCATAGAAAAGGTTTCTCTCCAGTATGGATTCTGAGATGCTCCAAAAGGCCTGCATTCTGACTGAAGACTTTCCCACACTCTTTGCACTGATAAGGCTTCTCACCAAGGTGGATTTTCTGATGTCTGACAAGGTGTGAACTCCTCTGAAAAACTTTCCCACACTCATGGCACTGATGGCCTTTCTCTCTAGACAGGGGTTTCTGATGTCCGGTAAGTACAGAACTTTGACACACTTCTGAGTCACACAGCTTTCCTCCTGTGTGTGTGCTTCTGTATTCAGTCACGTCTGAGTGATGGGGCTTGCCCTGCTGCCTTTCCAAGTTACAATCCTCAAAATGAGCCTCTCTGGGTTCAGCTTTCTTCTGGGGTTCCTCCTCTGTATCACAAGAGTCTGTTGTTGTAAGTTTTCCATTCTCAATCTGTATCTCCTCATCTGAAACATGAAATATGTATCACTAATTACTTGGGGTTTTGGTGCTTGGGGAAGGAATCTGCAACTAGGTGAAAAATGTAAATAAAGCCAGGCATGTAAAAGTAAAACAACTATAGTTGTATTTGTATAACATATACATGGAATTATACACAAGACATTGTAAACAGTGACTGCTTTGGGGGAAGGCTGGGCAGTTGTGCTTGGAGATGACTTCCTTCCTTTTTTTTTGAGACAGGGTCTCACTACGTACATCAGCCTGGCCTTGAACTCACTATGTTGCCAAAGCTAGCCTCGAACCCATGCATAGAAATGGGTTCCCTGCCTCAGGCAATCCAATTCCCTGCCTCAGCCTCGAGTACTGGGATCACAGGTATGCCACCTAGATCTACTTTATTTTCAATGGTTTCAGTTTTACCATATGATACACAGAAGAGCTCGAGGCAAGCAAACCAACTGTATTGAAGGACATAACTATACTTTTTGAAAATGATTTGTCACATGGAAAATAAAAAGCTAGGACCATTGAGGACCCTTGGACCAATAAGGGACTTTAAGAATAAAAAGATGCTGACATGGTACAAATTTTATTGACTACTGATATCTATGTGATCCTAGAAAAGTAACACGTCTCTGGACTCAGTGTTTTCTTCAATATATCTAAAACATGGGAGGAAAAGACCTTGAGGGTAACATATTCACAAAAATGCCTTGGCCTTTTTCCTGATCTTTCCTGTGTGGACCTTTTCCCTGTCGATGCTGTAATGATTTGTTCCTATCTCTGTCTCCCTCGATCACAGCCCTTAACACCTCCGGAGACTGTAAGCATAAGCAGAGCCGACTTCATTTCCTCTAGCACATCTCCTGGTACATAAACAAATATAGACATTAAACAACTGTTGAAGACTACATGACTTATGTTTGAGGGGTGAAATTACTTGACAATGAAAATAACGTCCTCAGGGGCTGGGGATTTAGCTCAGCGGCAAAGCGCCTGCCTGGCAAGTGCAAGGTTGTGAGTTCGGTTCCTGGTATCGGAGAAAAACCAAAAAACCAAAAAACCAAAAAAAAAAAAAGAAAATAACGTCCTCAGATACACAGGCAGAAAGGTGACAAGAATGGGCTTCTGGCCTACATGTTTTAAGGCTCAAAGCATAATAGGGATGCCACGTAAGAATGAAAGAATAGGGGAAATGTGTAGAAGAATCAGAAGAGGAGATTCTAAGCAGCGCTAATAAACTAATCATCAATATGAGCAAGACAGAGGCAGGAGATAATTAAGAGTGGATGAGAGCCACAAGTAAAAATGAAAGGGTTAGTAAGAAGACCCCAGAGAAAGTAAAGTCACACGTGTGGAAAGGTGAGACCAAGGAACACCAACAATGTGCCATGGGCAACATCCTCTGCGATGCGAAGTAGTCTACGTCAGCAGAAGTGAGGAACCAAGGCAAAGGAATAAAAGATCCTTTTCTGGTAATGACATGTAACTAAAAGGAAGGAGAAGCATTGAAACCCCAAAATAACCTGAACTTTGTAAAAAGTAACATTTTCACCAGATCCATGGGGTAAGGAACATTTGCAAGAAGTACTGCAAGTATTACATTCACTTTGCAAAGTTGTTCAGAAAAGGCAGACCCTTTTTTGCCAGCCACTTGACTCAGAAGGCTCCATAAACAAGCAGACCTTTGAAACAGACTCTAATGCACAAGAAAATAGGCAACAGGTAAAGGATTTTAGGAGGTTTGGATTTTAGAAGTCCTCAAAACCTCATGTGTTGAAAGCTTGGTTGCCAGGTGAAGGTAGTATTGGGAGGTGGTGGACACCCGGAAGAGATGAGGCCTGGCTGGAAGAAACCACTGGGGCATTGTCTTGAGAGGTGTACTTTGCTCCCACTCCCCCAACCCTGTGTCCTCTCCTCCATGAGGAAACGCAGCCTTCCTTGCCACATCCCTCTGCCATCATGCTCTGTCCCGCCAGGCCCAGAAACAAAGGAACCAGATGACCGCAGACTGAAAATTCTAGAATCATAAGCTAAAATAAAGGAGAAACCTTTCCTCCTTTGTTTATCTCAGGTATTTTGTCACAGCATTAGAAGCTAACACATAAAATTGGTACTGAGAAGTTGGGTTGTTGCTGTGACTATACCTGACACTGTGGTTCAAAAGCTTTTGGAACTCTTTTGTGAGAGGAGTTTGGAAAGATCTGGATATGCACCCTAGAAAGTAGTACGTGGTACTTAATGGATGATTCTGGTGAGAGCTCTGAAGACCAAAATGCTGAAGGAATGCAGATGGGAAAGTGCACCTGTGATAAGAACTTTATTGGGAATTGCACTAGAGGTCATTTGTGTTACCTTCTGGCAAAGAACTTGTCTACAGTTTATCCATGCTCTGAGAATTATGGGAGGCTGAACTTGAAGATGACAGAGTAACCTACCTGGGGGAGAAAATTTCAAGACAGCACAGTATTCAGACTATAGGATAGGTACTGCTGCCTGTTTTTAGCCAGATTTATAGTGAGAATCAGGAGCAAAAAAGCTGAGCAGAAAAATTTTAAAAACTTGCAGTGTGGCTACAAAAGAAGTACATGTAAAGTTAGGGCAAAGGAGTATATGGTTGCTATTGAGATTAATCCCTTTAAAAAGAGGCCAAGCACTTTGCAGCAGAGCAATAAGAAAGATACTTTCACATCTTAAGAACTGGCCAGATCCCACTCATAACAGGCACAAGGTATAAAAATGGATACTCCTTTGAAAAAGTCTGCATTGAGAGGAGAGCACCAGGAACCTCTGTTCAGACAAAGCCACCTAAGGAAGTGTTTCTCCAGCATTCATTTCATCATGCTCAGCCATGCAGATACTCAGAGGCTCCTGGAACCATGGTCTAAGGGGGCCAAGCTACTGCTTAAACTGGTGGCAGATCTGAGTGTCATCCACACAACACTGGTTTTACAGATGTGCAGAATTTAAAGTTTACAAGGTCACAAAGGCTTCCAGTCACATTTCAACAGAAGGCCTGGGAGGTCAGACAGTGTGTGGCAGGGGCAGGGTTCCTGCCAAGAGCTCCTGAGATGGTGATACTCAAGGCTATGAGAGTGAAGCAGTGCTGTAACAGAGATCCCAGGAAGGTGGAGATTTTGCCTGGCAAGTGCAAGGTCCTGAGTTTGACTCCCTGTACCAAAAAAAAGGCCAGGGATATAGCTCAGTGGCACAGTGCCTGCCTGGAAGGTAGAGATTCCTGGCACGTGGATGGCTGGTTCTACTGCAGAGCCAACCCAAGAGAAAGGTTATGTGTGCTGTAACAGGGAGGGCACAGGGGCAGAGTTACAGCCCAAGATGCCAGACTACAGGATTTCATGTTTGTCCTGGTGGGTTTTGGTCTTGCTTTGGCCCTATCCTTTTTCTCTATGTCCCCATTCCTCCCTTTTGGAATGGAAAACTTTACCCTGTGCCATTGTACACTACATATATGTAACTTGGTTTTGATTTGCACAAGGTCTCATGGCTAAGAGTCTGCTTTGAGTCTCAGAGGAGACTTTGAATTTGGACTTTTGGAGAGCAAGAGGCTTAGAGTGGCAAAATGGGAAAGTGCAAATGAAATATAGCTCAACATTTTATAGGTACCAGTATGAGAAAGTGAGATAGGGCAAGTAATTTTCCCAGGATGTGCAACTGTCCACGCCTAAAGGCTTAAAAGACTACGACCAACCGTCCATGCAGCGACGAGGCCTTTGGTAATGGGAACTAGGAGTCGCTACACATAGTGATTTTTTAATCTTTTTTCTTTTTTTTCTACTTTTTATTATGGAACTTTTCAAACCTCAAAAAAAGCTGAATTGAGTGTGGTGATACATGCCTGTAATCCTAGCATTTGTGAGGTTGAGGAAGGAATACCAAAAGTTCAAGCCCAGCATAGACAATACAGAGTTCAAGGCTGGCCTCAATCACATAGTGAGTTCCTTTTTCAAAAAAGGAAAAAATAACCAAATTGAAAGGATAACAATAAGCTCAGTTAAAGGTTAAAGAAACATTAATGATTTCGTTTGTTTGTTTGAGATAGTGTCTCACTATGTAGTCTAGGCTGTTCTTGAACTCACTATGTAGCTTAGGCTGCCCTTGAACTCACAGCAATCCTCCTGCGTCAGCCTCCCGAGTGCTAGGATTATAGGTGTGCACTACCACCCCTGGCAATGAATTTGTTTTTAAATGACGGAGAAAGAACAGGAAGTAACTGAACTTTAGTGGAAGGACCAAGATGACATTGAAGTAGAGGAAGAGAAAGACGGTGAGAGTAAGGAGTGGGTATTGTACCAGACGATGAAGAAGAAAAGAAACATGTAAGGAACAGAAAGTGAAAAGGTGGCTTTTCGTGACAAAGAAACTACAGGACAAAAAAAAACAAATATTAAAACCCAGGTGATATTTAGAAATAAAAAACCATGCCATTTACAATAGTTTGAAGGAGATCAGAAAAAAATCAGTAATGAAATGTGTGGCCTGAAATTCCTTGCTTTTGGTGAGAAAGCAGGCCTACTTCTTTTCTTCTTTATTAGTGCATATTAATTATACAGAATATTGGGTTTCATTGTGGCATTTGTATACACAGATATCACATATTTTGATTATAGCCATCTCTTTTAGCAGTACTTTCAAAATATATCCCTACAGTAAAGGGAAGACGAGTAAGGTGAAGGTCCAGACTCACCTTTCCTTCATGTTTGTTGAACTAAAGGGTTTGGAGTGATAGATACCTTTTATATTTTGATTGCGGTGCTGATTAGAGGACCATTCTCATTTCATATTTGTGAAAACTCACTGGCTAGTACAAAAGTACATTTTTACTGACGTAAATTATACTTTAAAAAACCCAACTCCAAAACAAAATACAAAATAGCATGTGTGTTGAGCAGGGGCTCAGAGGGCCACATACCACCTACCCCACCTTGAATTCAGGGGCACTCCAGGTCTTACCCTCCTCTTTCTTAGGCTTCTGGCCTTCATACCCAGGCAGGACCTGCTGCGCCTGCACTGCTCTCAGAGAGTCTGGTACTTCCACAAGCAGTGACTGCTTCTTTTCCCGGTCTGGGTCCTAGAGACAACGAGGTACATGGAGAGACAAACACACATGGGTTCAGAAAACCGCCCTTCAGATAAACAGCTCAGTGCTGGAAAGGAAACAAAGAGAAATCCCAAAATGGGGCGGGTGGGGGCGTAGGGAATCTGGAACACATTCAGCTTCTCCCAGAAGAGGACAGGTGAGGCTGAAGACAGACCCAGACTGGAAGGAAAGAGAATCAAAGCTTAGCCATTCTCCACCCACTGCTGCACGCAGGTCCACACCCCTGGACAGAAGTCTCAATTCTTGCTTTCCTGCAGAAGAGTGTATGTGACCTTTACCTCTTGCTGTCCTTGTCCTCCATGCTCCAGCTGCAAGTCCTCCAGCACAACCACCAGGTCCTCCCCGCTCTCAGGATGCTTTTCCTGCACCCGGGCCTGCAGCTCTTCCGGCAGGATGGCCAGGAACTGCTCCAGCACCAGCAGCTCCAGGATCTGCTCCTTGCTGTGGGTCTCGGGCTGCAGCCACCGGTGGCAGAGCTCGCGGAGCCGGCGCAGCGCCTCCCGGGGCCCTGCAGTTTCTTCATAGCGCAACTGCCTGAACTGCTTGCACAGTGGCTCCTGTCCAAGGCCTTTGCTGTTTCCTTGCGGCTGGAGTCCCTCTTCCTAAGTAGAGTAGTTGTAACAGACACTTAACGGTTGTTTTTGCTAAAAGCACTGAGTCTTTACTGGGGCCTGCCACTGTCTCCTCTCTACTTCAAACTGTGAGTCTGATTCCCGCTCAGCTCAACACACAGATGTTGAATCATTCAAGGAGTGTCTGTCTAAAACGTGGTAATGCCAGATAGATCAGCCCTAAATTTACCCAGCCTCTCTGGGCCCCTTTCAAGGCTCAAAACACCAAGATAAGATTCTAGGAACAAGAGGCTGGGGATACAGCTCAGCAGGGCAAGCACCTGCCTGGCAAGCGCAAGGTCCTGAGTTCGATTCCCAGCACAAAAAAAAAAAGAAAGTGAAAAGGAAAAAAAAAAAAGATTCCAGGAACAGAGTCTTGAAGGCAGATCACCCCAATGATGGAAACTGACCCTGCCCCCAGCCAGAAGTGATCACCCCATGATGGCAACCCAGACTTTCCCCCACGTGGGAGCAATTCATCTATGATGGAAATCAAGGCTGCCCTCCACTCCAAGGAGGAGCAGTCATCTTCTGACAGGCTCCTCAAGCAGTAAATGATTTGTCTGCAGCCAGCAAAATGTTGCTGCAGAACCAGAACCGAAATAATAACTGACCAGACAAATCTGACCAACTGCTTGGATGTGCACTCTTCTTGCCCCCCATGTTTGTCCTTGCCCCATATAATGCTGAAGCTCTTATCAGAGCCTCAAGGACAAGGCTTAGGACTTAAGACACTGGTCTCCATGTTTCTTCCAAATGTGGCCACTCTGAACATAAAATTCCCGACTTGCTTCACATCCACTGTCTTTCTCTGACTGGTCTCTCAAGGTGATGAGTAGCTGAATCCAGCCTGTTGGGAAGCTCAGAGTCATACCTCTGGCTTAGGCCCCCAGCAGCACACTGATCTTCCTCATGACCAGAGGCTTCCCACTTAGATTCAAGGAGCCAGGGAATGGACACTCACCAGCATAGCAGCCATCCCTAGCTCTAGGCTGGTCTCTCTGCTTTGCAGAACTTTCTTTTGGCTGTATCCTGAAGGGTGTTCCTAAGAATACAATAACAAGAATCATACAATAACAGTAACAAGAGTGCCTGACAATAAGTAACCCACACGGTGCAGTGAACTAAGTGCCACTATGAGTAGAAGCACAGTATGCCGGCAGAGTGCAGTGAAGCACCTACTTCTCAGCAGCAGGCCACAAGTCTTCCTGGAGGTGAGAGACTCAGGTGAGAAGGGAAAGACGACAGGGATTTTTAGAAGTCTGAACACAGAAATGCTGGGCTTTCAGCATAGTAGTTATTATGGCTGGGAAAATGTTATGGAGGGCTGGAAACCTGGGAAATATCTGTATGTAAGGAAAAGAACTGAAAAGGAACAGGACAGGTAGAGAAGAATAAAGATCCAGAAGGCCAAGGAAGTCTATTTTTCGAAGTATGGGGCAGTACAAAAGACTCTAGGCCTCAGCTAAGCCTGGGTTCCAAACCAGCCCTGTCACTTACAAGCCATGTCACCTTATCTCCCACAGACCTAGCTCACTCATTTGTAAAAGAAGATAATATCCACGTCACAGAGATTTTGAGTAAATGAGTAATTGTAAGAGACTGGAAGAAATCATTGATTTGTTAAGTAGAATAAGGAGGTAATGGTCAAGAATGCAATGCTCCAAGAAGGTTCAATGACATAAAACTTGACATACACACAGTTAAAAACACAGATACCACTGGTGAATTCTGTGGAGGCAATGTCAGTAGTGGAATGGGGAAAACAGCCTGCCCACCATAGAAAATAAGCAAGTGGGAAGAATGGAAAAAAAAAAAACCTTTCATAAAGACATTGGCTGGAAAGACAAAAAGGGAACACACTAGGAAGGGTAATGTGGAACATACATGTATTTGTGACTTACTATCTTTATGCTAATGACTTACTTTTGAGAACTGACAGCAAGTGCCACACTTATAATTCCTTCTGCCTATCTGATACCTGGAAACCCTACCGAACCCAGCGTGTCAAAGATGAACTCAAATAATGACCATCATCCCTTGGAGTAGGCCTTTGATATGCTAGATTTGGACCACTCTTCAGAGACTCTCCAAAGCAGGAACATAGTATCTGCCAACTGCTAACACGTGCCTTTGAAACAATGTGCATGAGGTGGTGATGAGATGGAAGGCTCACTCAATTAGTGGCTGTGCCTGGCTAGGGTCCAAACATCTTACCCTTATATACTTCTGGATGTGCATATATGAACAGTCCTGACATTTTTCTTGTAGTACTGGAAACTGAATCTAGGGCCTTCACACTAAGTTATATCCCATTGTTTCTTAATTTTGATATAGTGACTTGGTATGTTGTCCAGGCTGCCTCAAACTTGTGATTCTTCTGCCTCAGCCTCCTGAGCTGCACGGATTACAGGTGTGCCCTATCTGATATTTTTGTCAAAAAAGGAATTAGAGGGCTGGAGATATAGCTCAGTGGCATAAGCGCCTGCCTGGCAAGCGCAAGGTCGTGAGTTTGATCCCCGGTACCGCCAAAAAAAATAAATAAAATTATCACCACTAATGTTAACATTAAGATATAAATCCCTCTGTTTGCCAGTTTCAAAAAAGGAATTAGGCCTGGTGTAGGGGTGTACTTGGGAAGCTGAGGAACAAGGAAAGCTAGTTTTATGAGGCCAGCCTGAAATACATCATGAGACCCTGTTTCAACCCATCTCAAAGACTTAAATTTTTAAAAGTTAAATGCTAGTATCTTTACTTGAGTTTACAATAATAATCTTAAAGGAGATGGAATGGTCTAAGAAATGTATGATTATTAGCTAGAAAATAGAAATTTAATATTGTGATACTTCATTTTATGCTTCAACTCTGGACCACAGGTGCCTATATACCATATTTGTTTTAACATTCTGGATGTTTGCATTATTTTTGGATGACATTAACATTTAAACCAATAGACTACAGACTGACTATTGGCCTGTATAGTATTGTGGGTCATGTAATCAGTTGAAGGTCTGGCTAGAACAAAACCGCTGACTCTATTACAAGTAACAGAAAAGAGGCCAGGCATGGTGGCTCACGTCTGTAATCCCAGCACTTGGGAGGCTAAGGCAGGAGGATCTTCGAAAGTTCGAGACCACCCTGGGCTACAAAGTGAGCTCAAGGCCAGCCTAAATTACACAGGGAGAACCTGTCTTTTAAAAAAAAAAGAAAGAGACAACTTTCCGTCTGAAGGCCTATGAGCTGAAGCAACAGCTTTATTGCCCTGTCTTCAAACTTGAACTGGATATTACACTGCTGGCCTTCAGACTAACTACATTATGCAACTTCAAGGTTCTCAGACTTTGGGCTTCAATGAGAACTAAAGCATTGCTCTCTTGGGTCTCAAGTTTGGTGCCACATCCTGAAGATCTCATCTTCCATAATCATGTAAGCCAATTCCTTATTATAAGGGTCTTTCCAGATATCTGTCAGTCAATTGATTGACCAATATAAATACTAGTTCTGTCTCCAGAGAATCTTGACTAATACAAGTATATACTGTTTGATGCTGAATTAGTGGTGGCTGATTTCTACGCCATTAAATATCAACACAATGTATAATAATGTAATAACCTGTCTTGTGTGAGCACTCCATCTCCCTAGCTATCTTGAGCCAAAAAACAACCATTTCCTCCTCCTTTCATATCTCATGCACCGGATCAATCCCAAATTCAACTGATTTTATTGCTTAAAAATCCATCAAGTCCATCCATCCCTATCCCCTCTGGCACCATCCTCTACTCTCTACTGCAACTGGCCCTTCTGTTGCACCAATCTATGTTACACTTTGCAATCAGTGGTCTTTCTAAGGAGAAAATGAGACATTACCTGTCTGCTGTGCCTATGACATATAATGCTCACCGTTACCCTTAAGCTCAAGTTCAAAACATTTAATATGCTTTACATCTTTCATATGATCTAATCAACTACTTTCAGTTTCTCAAACTTGCAGTCCTTTTTCCTGCTCCTGGGTGCTTACACATCCTATCCCTTTTGCCAAAAAGACCCTTAATTTTTCTTGTAAATGCCCGCTCACACTTCATTTCTCAGCCTAATAAACAAGGCAGCACTGCCATTCTACCTACTTGACGTGTATTCATTCACTTAATCTTCACATTGCCCTACAGAGAACTATCTTCAACTTCACTATACAGAGAAGGGATCCTACATGGACAGTTCATGAATGTAAACAAGGTACCAAAGACCTCAGATCTCTCTCCAATCTCTCTTTCACCCGCGGGCTTTCTCGGGTTTATCTTTGCCTTCTTGTATTTATGTGCTCTGCAACTGATTCGGGGGCAAAGCAGAACAAAAATCTGACCAAACGAACCACATCTACCGCACCACACTGTTCTTACCTCCCAATCCGTTCTCATGAGAACTTCCCAGCCACAGATGCTTGGCTGTAAACCTAAGTCAGATCACGTTTCTCCTCTGCAGAAACTTCTAAAAACTCACACCAAGCAAAGTCAATTTCCTACACAACACGGGGCCTTTTCCCACCCGTTGCTCTCAGGCCGAATCGCTCTGATCCTCCCTGCAAGTGCCACCAACCTCGTCTCGACCACCTCGCGGCCTCCAGGCCTCGGCTCTCGCCGCTTCTTCGCCCGCAAAGCCCACCCCCGCGAAGGCACCCGGGCTTTCGCCCTCGCTCAGAGCCGCGCTCCCAGCGTCTCAGTGACGCCCACCTTTAACACCGGCTCTCCGGGAGGCCCAGCTTTAACATCCGCCCGCGCGTACTGGCATCTCCTCTCGGGGAAGGCTTTTCTGCACCCCAAAAGGGGCCCCTCCCAAGGCCTACGGGCTGCAAATCAAGCCCAGGCCCCACTGAGGAAACGCCCCCGAAGGCCAAGGGCTCCCTATACCAAGGCACACGGCGCTCTAGGACCCCGGAAGACCGCAACTCGATGGTGCCTGCTTCCGCTTCCTGAGGAGCGAAGTAGTCACGCCCACTTAGGCGGGGCATGTGCGCCTGACCTTGTGTGGGGATTTTGTTGCTGTAACTGTTTTCATATTACACCGATGTTTATTTTGTATACATGAGATGTGTTTCATGGGTAGTTAGACAATAGCAGGCCTGAGGGGGCAAAAAACGGGTGTCTGGCTTCAAGGCAAAACTTCCTGTAAATTTATATTAAATTTCACCTATATTTCTACGCTGCCCATGTGTCTTTTGATGTTTTGATTTTTGAGACGGGGTATCACTATGTAATTTAGACTGCCTTGGACTCACTGTGTAGTCTAGGCTGGCCTCTAACTCGCAGCGATCCTCCTGTCTCATCCTCCAGAGTGTGCCACCTTGCCTGGCTTCTCTTCCTACTCTTACCAAACTTTTTTATTCTTATCAAACTTTTGATCTTTGATGATATGATAAACTTCAGTGATCTGTATGTTTTCACCAGGTCCATTCATTGGATATTCAGAAATAAGAACTTCCTTTTCCATATCATTTGTAGAGGCACTGTTGCACTGTAAGTCATGCAATCACGCATAAGCTTTACACATCTTAAGTTTTTGTAACGATGCTTTCTAAACCACTGCTACCCTCACAGCCAGGTCTCATTCATTACTACAAGTTTTGAAATAAAATTATATGGCCAGTATTCTAAACCAAAATTATACACATGAATCCAATAAACTTACCCCAGTTAAATATTAGAAAATATATAACTAAGTCATCATGTTAATGGGCTAATAAAAATCATGAATTTCACAAATGCACAGAAGTCATCTAATAAATATGGCTTGGCATGGGCACACACGCCTGTAATCCAGCACTCGGGAGGCTAAGGCAGGGGGATTGCTGAGAGTTCGAGGCCAGTCTTGGCTACATAGTGAGTTCAAGGCCAGCCTGAACTGCACAGTGAGACCCTGTCTCAAAAAAGCAAACAAACAAAAACCTCACTATGCATTTCTGACTGAAAGGGGAAAATCTCAATAAAATGACTAAATAAGTACTTTTTGTATAAAGCAAAAATAAACACACCTCAAACCTAAACCTTCCCTTATATTCAGTGGTAAATCTTAGAAGTATCTCCATAAACAGCTACTTGAAGTTGTGCTGTATTCTGGCTTGGATCTTAAATGTTCCCCCAAAACTTCATTGCCAGCCTACCCACACTCCTAGGATGTGTTGAAGCTTTTAGGAGGTTGGGCCCTTTTTTTCCCAGTCATGGGGTAAACAGACGTCCTTTGCTGTTCATTCCCTACCAAGACCAGAATTTTGTTATGCTGTTTTTCTTCCATTTCACAATCCATAATGACATATTCTGGGCAAAACTACTTCAAAAGAAAAGTTTTTATCTTTTTATTAAGTCCCCTAAAACAATGATGAAACACAAGTTACAATTTTCAAAATTTCTTTTAAGACAGACTTTACTGGTCAGATCCCTCTCCAAGTTAAGCATAAGTACCACAGAAGAGCTATTGAGTAGTATTACAGGTACCATTTGTTGCATTGGGTATATTGTTTCAGTTTGGAAAAAAACCCACCAATCTTACCCTAGCTTACTTAGAACCCATGGTTTCTCAGCTGCACATTTCCCCCAAGAAAGACAAGGACATTTGTTTGGTTAATACTGAGGAATATTTTTAGGCTTTATGGGGCAATATAGTAGGAAAACCAATTCCAAATGCAAATAATAGTGAAAAATACTTGCAAGAATGTGATAGAGACCTTTTTGTTATCTGAAGTTTTTATGCTCAATAAGAAAAAAAAAAACTTACAGGAGAAATGATGTTATAGCTTGTGTTTAGATGTCCCCTCAAAGCTTCATGCTATCATGAGTGAGGCTTTTTCAGAGGAGGCTGGATCTAGAATGGGTAATGTTGGGATTGATTCACGGGGCAGTGCTAGGATTAAGGACACTAGGATTCAGGGTGTGAGTACTACGTGCCCTAAGTAGCCTGGATAAGACATAAGGGATAGAAAGAACTGTGGTCATCCCTTGTTGCTTTGCTGCCTTCTGCGCACAATGAACTGTTTCTTCTCTGTACGGATCCATTGGGTTCTTGCTGTACCCTGGGAAGGAACGGCAGCAAGAATGAAGAAAAAATAGACAAGAGACAAAAAGCTGGGATCAGGTGGAGGTCTTGTCTCTCAGTGGAGAAGGGGAACCACCCAAGAACAGTAGTGCATTTATTTATACCCTCAAGAGGTTGGTTAATTTTCCCCTCGCTGTCCAGCTACAAGCTACAACGGCTTGTTTATGTGCTTTGAGGAGCTCCCGTGTTCTCGGAGCTCGCGTGTTCTCGGGCTGGCTTCATCGCGCACATGAAATTACTTTCCAGCTTCCCGCGGCTCCCAACACTCTGTGATACCACCCTGCTTTGCAGCCAGCAATTATGGACTGAAACCTCTACAGACTGTGAGCTGTACACCTCCCTTAATTTTGGTCATGGGGTATTTTGTCTCAGCAACAAGAAAAATAACTAAGACATTGATAAAAGATATAATGTAACTCACAATAAAAAAAGAATTGCAAAAACACTCATAATTACACAAAGGACACTATAGCTTAAACAAATGAAAATAATGAAATGCCTTTTCACCTACTGTGTTACAAAGATAAAAAGCATCTTTTTTTTTTTTTGGCTTTTCTCCGGTACCGGGAACCGAACTCACGACCTTGCGCTTGCCAGGCAGGCGCTTTTGCCGCCGAGCTAAATCTCCAGCCCCATATAAAAAGCATCTTGAAAGTACAATATTGGTGATCCTGTTGGTCTGTATACTGGTGCATCTTATTAGAAAGTAATGTTGCAACATCAAAATTTAAAAGCACAAAGAACTTAAATGTCGATAGTCTAGAGGACCCCTATTTTTTGGCAGACTCCAGCACTCTAGACCTACATTTTAAAAAATCTTGTCTTATGGATAAAACCTGTCTTCTTCAATCAGGAGGTGGATTTGAATAAACAAAGCCAGCTTTATTCTACACAGTATGTTCTTGTAGATACACAAAACTATGAACAAATACCAAAATGAGGTTTCTTTAGGGAAGGGAAACAGGGATTGCATGACAGGCTCACCTTTTACTAACTCTAGTCCCATAATATTTGCATCTTTTTAAAAGACCACATACACATATTACTTTAGAAAAAACAAAAATGGCCAAAAAATTGCTAGATATCTCAAAAAGTAGCCTTTTCCTGAGAAACCTCCTAACATAGTACAAAAGCACTGTAAAGACTTATAATACCAAGCATAGAGTGGTCATATAAAACTTCTGTTGCAAAACGTCCTGTTGTGTAACAAACACATCTTTACTTGTCATCTTTCCCTTTTGTTTTTCTGTACACCATCTCTCGCAAACTGGCTAGAATCTTATTCTCTCTGTTTCGTCTCTCTTCTTGGTTAAAGGATGCAAGGGCTCTCTTCTCATCAGCACTATAAATCTGGTTCTCTTTCCGCAGTCGTACAGCCTCCATTCTGCGATGTCTGCTACCACTCATGACATAGCCTGAGCATTCAAATGAGGCGATCTCTTCACTTGTCAGTCCAATTTCACCTCTTCGTGGGATTCGCTTTCCAGCTTTTACATACTCTGCCATAGCCGCACCTTCTCCTGGAAGCAGAGCATGGCCGTAACTTAAAGGCTTCTCATCTTGACAGGTATATATTATGGGTACTTCTGGACCAATTAATAAACCCGTGGTATCTGAAGTCTTTGACTGCTCAATCCAAGTATTTTCTGGAAACTTCCCTTCTGAAACTTTACAGCTTGTGTCACTGAGATTTTTCATTCTCTTATTCTTTTTCTTGGGTTTTGTTTTGTGTTTCTTTCTCTTCTCTTTCTTTTTGCCTTTTTTGACTCTCTTTTTGTCATCATCAGTGCTAGAATTACTGTCAGACTCTGAATAATTGTCATTATCCGAATACTTCCTACGCTTCCTTTCAGAAGACTTTTTCTTTCTTTTTTTCTTTTTTGAACTGGTCCTCTTCCTCTTTTTTTCAGAGTTGGTTTCTGAGCCACTGCTCTTCTGACTCTTTATCTCATCTTCAACTGGAGTATGTTCATCAGAATCCGGCTCGGGAGATTTTGGTGACAACCCCCACACCTCAGGAGCTCCCAGTTCCCCAATCCTCTCCCTCTCCTTCAGCCTCCGCTGCCGACAGCTCTCCTCCTTCTCCTTCTCATAGTCTTCCACCCACTGCCAGTCGCCCGCATAGCGGTGCTGGTAGCGGTATCCACCACAGTAGCCGGAGCAGGAGAAGGAGGGGCTAGAGCTGCGCGGCGCTGGGGCCCACTCTCGGGACCCCAAGCGCCCAGCTGGGTGACAAGGGCGGCCGCCTGCCCCACTCCACGGAGGCCGTGGGCTCCCGCGGCTGGGGGAGCGAGGACGGGAACCAACGCCGGGGGCAGGGCTTCGTGTCCACTCAGGCGTCGGGGAAGAACTGCCCCACCGTCGCCGAGGGCCCAGGGTGTCCTTGGGAGACCGGGACCCCGGAGCCCGGCTCATGAGCCACTCTTCAATGGCCAACGTGGGGCGGTTGTCTGCGGTTACTACCCGCGCCCAAACGCTCCAGGCCCACTGCCCACGCAGGCGCACTGGAAACGCGCATGCGCGGCTCCGGCTCCCCCCCCCCCCCCCCCCCCCCGCTTCCGACTTCCGCTTCCCTCGCGTTGCAGATGAAGACCTAGTAGCCCGAAGCGCGGGCGTTCCCTTGGGGTAAGCTGCATGGTAACTTCTTCTCGCAGATGGGCGGAGTGACAAGGAAGCACCAGTTTTCAAGGATCAACAGTCTCCGGGCTGAGCGGCCTGGGAGAATCGAGTTTGCCTCCATGGGGCCAGTGCTGCTTAAACACTCGCTGCCTTCTTGGATTTCTGTCTTCCTTTAAAGCCACTTACTCTGCGTCCTCCCTTCTCACTGCCGCCTTATCTTTTCCAATTGGGGAAGGAGCTCTGTTATTTTCGCTCCTGTATTTTTTCTTCTTAAAAACTTGTGGCCATTTCACAATGGAAATACGTTTAATTAATGACTTCCTAACCCTGCTTGTGCCTACTGGAAGCAAGTACCAGAATTTCTTTTGGAATCAGAATGTGCTCAGCTTCAGAACCAAATGAGGACCAGACTTAGAATTTTAAGTTTTAAATTCACAGACCTTTCCATCTCAGAAACAAATAGAAACAAATAGAAACATCAAACATAGGTGTCTCCCCATTGAGGGATATTTATTTAGAAACTTGGAAGTTTTAAATCACTGTCTGAACACACTTTAGATCTCACTTTCTATAATGGCAAACATTTCATGCAAGATCATTTCCCCAATCTTAAATGTACAAAGACATTACCATCACTTTTGTCCTCTTTAGCTAAATTGACCTGCTTAGCTGAGACTTTGGAAAAAATGAAAGATAAATTAAGTCAAAACTGAAGAGTGATGCTTTCCTGGTGCTAAAACTCTAAAAATAGGAGGAAATTAAATTGAGTGGTAGTGCCTGGCATGGTGGCACATGCCTGTAATCCCAGCACTCAGGAGGCTGAGGCAAGAGAATAGCTGAGAGTTCAAGGCCAGCCTGGACTGCATATCCAGACCCTGTCTCAAAAAAAAAAAAAAAAAAGAGACGACTTCCTGTATGAAGACCTATGAGCTGAGACCAGGTGGGACCTGACCTCTTTGATGGAGAAGTAGGAACAATCCAGCAGGCCCTGTGTCTTTATTTATACACAATAAAAAGGGGAGAAGTGTGTGACAGGGCCAGAAGTGCAAGTTTTCAGTGTTTTGCTGAGAATACTGAAAGCAAAACATCCTCAGAGCTATATGTGTTGTAATTAACAGAAACACCAAGGCCAGACACCTGTTGATATGCAAATGAGCTACAGTTCAACTTATTTATATGGTGTGCCTCTGGTATTTCATGTTCCTGTGACTGGCTTTGCTCTAGTCCCAAGGAGTTTTCGGACCTCTGACTTAGCCAATCCCCAAATTTATTAATATCTTTCCACCTAGTGTCCTTTGCCTTCTTTAAATTGATATGAAAAGACCCACTTCTCTTTGTTCCCTACAGACGGCCTTATCAGCCTCTGTGTGTGTGCACCCAGGTATTAAACTGTATGCCTTGTTGCTTTCACAAAAGCCTGTCAAGGGATCTCTGCCTCACATCATTGTTCCTTACAGATTCTTTGTAAGTTAAGAACATTTTCTTTGGATTTATCAACTACTTCATGACCAATAAAATGGCTCTGTCAATGTCACTTAAGAGAACAGTAAAATTAATCCATTTAGTAGATGACGGAAAATTCAAATATTAACAAATTGGTGGAATACCTCTTTTAGATAGCACATGGGAAAATGAATTTTACAATATATTTTTGCTCATTAGGAAGACTATGACATGAGTGGCAAACATTTTTTGGAAAAGGTCAGTAGTAAATATTTTATGCCAAGAGGCAACATGGAGGATATTATATATCATACTGTGTGTTGGGTTGCTTTTTGTTTTGCTGTTTTTTTTTTTTTTGTTGTTGTTGTTGTACTGGGGACTGAACCCAGGCTTGCACATACTAGGCAAGTGATTAACCCCTGAACTCTATCCCTATCCTTGTATGATAAGGTACGAGGGCAATATAAGATTAGGGGAGAATAACAGTACAACAGGTAAATTGATAGTAATTCCTTAATCAAGGTCCAAATAAAATCTACTGTTGCATTTAGTCAATGTGTCTCTTCAGTCTTTTATTCTGTAACAGTTCCCCTTTGGGGCCTGCATTTTTTTTTTTTTTTTTGTACCAGCAATCAAACTCAGGACCTTGCAGTTGCCAGGTAGGCTCTGTGCCGCTGAGTTATAGCCCCATCCCTGCCTACATTTTTATAAAACCGCTTTTATTTGTTGAAGAACCTAGGTCTTCTGTCTTATAGAAAGGCCCACATTCTAGATCTCGCTATTTCTTCTGCTTCTACTTACTTTGTGGTATTGGGAATTGAACTTAGGGGTGCTCTCCCACTTAGCTACAATCCCTTTTTTCTTTTTTCTTTTGAGACAGAGTACTACTTAGTTGTTCAGATTGATCTCAAATTTTCAATCACCTGCCTCCTGAGTATCTGGGATTACAAGTTGTGTATCACCAAGCCTGAGTGATTATTTTTTTCAAAATTTTATTTAACTCATTGTCTTAGTCACTTTCCTCAAAGCTAGAACAAGATATCCAATACCTATTAATTAAAGGAGGACACATTTATTTTGATTTACAGTTTAGAAGTTTCAGTCTATGTTTAGCAGGCTTAATCACAGAAACATCATGGTAGAATGGCCTGGGGAGAGGACAGTTGCTCATATGAGCCTGGTGGGAGAAACACCTTTCCAGGTTGCACCTCCATTGACCTGCCTCCCCCAGCCAGGTCTCACCTCTTAACAGGAAGTCAGATGTAGCACCCAAATAATCCAGCAGCACCTATGAGCACATGAGGCTCTTGGGAGACATCTAGATATAAATCATAATACTCATTCTCAAACTCATCAGGTAATTGGAATAACCTAGGAAATTTTAGAAGTTACTTATGCCTGCATCTTCTGACATTTGGATTTAATTGATTTTTTTTGAGACAGGTTTTGCTATGTAGTTCAGGCTGGCCTTGGACTCACTTTGTAGCACAGGCTGGCCTCGAGCTTGCAGCAATCCTTCTGCCTTAGCCTCCTGAGTGCTGTGATTACAGGCATCTGCCACCACACACAGCTTTAATTGATCATGATTAAAGCCAGGGTATCAGGATGTTTTAAAAGCTCCTCAGTGATTCTAATGTGACAAAATTTGAAACTGCTAACTACCCTGTTCTTGTTCCTCACGTGTACACAAGTATTAGGATATAGAAACTTTAAAAGATCCAGGTTCACTGGATTGGATAACAATGCCTGGTGGGTGGTGCCCCATACTTTCTCATCAGAGAAAAATATTTTTTTTTGATAGTTTTCCTTTACAACAGCCTTTAAGAGCTCTTATTGTCTTAAATTCTCTCTTTTCTTTGTGATCCTTTGAACTTTACAGAGATAGGCTAAAAAATAAAAACCGAGATAGGGCCAGTTATAATAATGCATGCCTATAATAGTAGCTACTTAGAAAGCTGAGGCAGGAATATACAGAGTCAAGGCTTGAGTTACATAGCAAGACTACCTCAAAAAACAAAACAGAACAAACACACCTAGAAAGCTACGGACATTTTTTTCTTCCCAATATTTCTAATAACCTACCAAGCTTGCATTTTTAGCTTCTCCATTCCGCCGGATAGAAAGACTTGTTAACATTACAATCCTGCTATGTAATGTGCAGTCACTTACAACTTTCTTAGTTCCATCTAGCTCAAAGAAATCTCCCACCTTCTATTTTAGGGCAGGCATAGCTGCATATCAGACGTTGTTCTGAGCACGGTAAGGTGTCTGAGGCAGCTCGGCCGTCCTTTCCGGGGCTGAGAGCCCACCGCAGGGCGAGACGCGGCGGCTGTGGGCTAACCCGACAACCACCGAGAAGCGCTTCCTAGATGGCCCAGGAAGCGGCGCTGCCCCGGCCCCTCGGCGGCCTCGGTTCTCGCTTCCTTCCGGGTCGCGCTTGGGACCCTCGCGGCGAGGCTCGGGACAGGATGGCTGGGGACCCCCGGGGGGGCGCGGGGCTGCTGCCCGTGA